GAATTTTTGAGCTACTTTGAAAAATGATGAAAAATGTCAAAAAAATAATGGGCCTTGATAAAAGACGCGGTTTTTCCGCGTTTTGACGCGGTTTTGCAGCAGCGCAGCGCTGCGCAGCACACGCGGATTCCGCGTTTGGACACGTTTTTTAAATTAATTTTCAACACCTTATTTATTATTATTTTTTTACATTTTAAAGTTGTTTCCTACACTATAAAATGCTAAGAATTTATGGTACAATCGAATTTGAAAAAGTATTAATGGTTCATTTTTAATACTGCAATTCAACACTTTTTTCAATTAATTTTCTACAGCTTAATTTTCTTTATTTTTTGACATTTTAATTTTTTTTCCTACACTTTCAGACATGTGAAAAATTATGGTGAAAACCATTTTGCATAAAAATGAAAACTCTTTCTTGAATATTGCATTCAACGTATTTTTTTAATTAATTCTTACAGGCTTATTATTCATTATTTTTTGGAATTTTAAATTGATTTCTTACATATTGAGAGGATTATAAATTTATTGTCTTATCCATTTTGCATACATATAAAATTGGTATACAGTACAAATTATGCAACAAATGGGGTAAGCTCATATATTAGAAGTAGGGCATTAATAAAAAAACACGGTTTTTCCGCGTTTACACGCGGTTTTGCTGCGGCGCAGCGCACGCGGTTTCCGCGTTTAAACACAGTTTTGTAATTAATTTTTTACCGCTTATTTTTCAAGTTTTTTTGAATTTTTAAAATTGTTTCCTAGGTTATAAAGTGCGTAGAACTTAATGGTAAAGTCCATTTTTCATAAAATTGACTTTTGATTCTTAATTATTTTTTTTCACTCATTTTTCAATTAATTGTTTGCATGCATGTATGTACTTTATTTCTTAAGTTTTTTTGAGGTTTTAAAATTATTTCCTAGGTTTTAAAACACGCAAAATTTAAGGGGCTTGGTTAAACGACTCCCAAAAAGTGGAGAGCCGACTCCCAAGCCCCGGAATCCCCGAACTCTTGGGAGTCGAACCCCCAAAACCTTCGACTGGTT